AAGTTTTCACTTGAAATTCGAGCAATTGCTTTTGAAAAGTTTCAATTTCTGGCAGTGTGTGTGCGAGTTGTTAGGCAAATTCTCTTTATCCTCCACGCGCCAGACCAAAAACAGCAACTGAAAACTGAACTGAAGAGTGGCAAAAAAAAAAAACAAAACAAAAAAAAACCATGATGAGTTGCGTGGTGCTGAGATGGCTGAGATGGGATGGCCTGTCCTGCTCGGGTCTGGTCTGGTCTGATCTGGTCTGGCATGAGCGAGAAAAAGTTGCTTAATGAAATTGTGTCAGCGGGTTCGGCCTGTCCCGCTTGAAAGGCATCAGGAGTGACATAAAAAACACAAAACGAAATCAAGCGCGCACTTGAGCCAAATTAATTGTTGGAACAACAATTTTCAGTCTCTATAGGTTTATCTGACACAGCAGAAGAATAAACTGTCATTTTAACATTTTAAACAAAAAATTTAAAAAGACGTAGACTAACATTAAATCTAACTAAAATGTGTTGATTGTTACAAATTCTAAAGAATATCTTTATTTTCATAAATGATTCAAAAACTTTATTATTCAATTTGATTAATTTTGAATAGAACACCCTAATTTTTTTATTGTGTACCACTTTCCCATTCCTTTTTTAAACTTTTAAACAGCTTTCAAGTGCGTCTTGGCAAAGTTGTAATTACACAAAACGAAAGGCAGCAACGAGTCAGTCAGTTAGCCAGGCACTTGTCACTTTTTTCCTTTGCATCCTGGCCTGCTAACAAAACCAGCTCGTTAGCAAAAATTTTGAAGAGTCGCGGAAAAGGCCTTTTAGATTATAATCAGGGGCTTTCGATACGCGATGATGGGCAGGTTTTCTTCCTGTTCGCGTCCTGGTCCGGGTTCGGGTCAAACTTTGCGGTTAAAACCGTCAGAAAAGCCCAGGGAGACAACGAAGGTAAATCACAAAGCCATTTGCATTTATTTTTGACCTGCTTTTCACCCAGGCAGCCCTGGTAAGGTGACTTTAGCCTGTCTTTAATAGCCTGCCATGACTCGTTGTATCGGGCTAACGAAAGTTACGGCCTGGCTGACGAAAAAGCAGAAAAAAATAACAAAAAATAAGAAAAAAAGCGAGGTGAAAAGTTGCAAATTGGAAAAGCAGGAAGTCGGAAAAAAGTACGGGCTGAGCAGGCAGGGCTGCTAAGTGCAACTAAAAACTGTCTGAGTGTTGCAGTTAGGCTACCTCACTTCGCTCTTGAATCCACACATGTAGCACAGAGAAAAATTATCTTTTTTTTCAAAAAAAATATTGTAATAATTCACATTCTTGGCTTTTCCGACTTTCAAAAGACAAATATCTTGAGTTTCAGCAAATTTCTGCGACACATTCGGCTCAAAAAAGATTTCATTAAGCCCAAACTTTTAGTCGCAACTCCGAAAAGTTGCGATTTTGGCTCAGTGAAAGGACACACATGTCCATGTCTTCGCAGTTGCCATTGCCAAAAGGCGGCGCCTTCTTTGAATTATGTAGAATTTACGTGCTTTCAGCGCTTAAAGTGCAGGCATGTGTCTGTGCCTGTATATGTGTGTTTGTGGGTATTTCTCGTCCTGCCTCTTTCAAGGTGTGTGTGTGTGGGTGGGTGTGACGTGTGTGAGTATGGGACCATTAGTTTTTGTGCTGATTATTATGGCTGCCGCAGCACAGGGTAAGGATACGGCCGCAGCCACGGGATGGGTCATGCCAGGCCCACGCCCACGTGGCGCTGCATTTGTAACAGGTGAGCTTTATGGCTCTGTTACCGTTGCATTTGCCGTGTATAAGTGTGTGTGCTCCTGCATGTTTCGTATTAAATTATGCTTGCCAACGCGCTTTCAACTTGGTATTTTCCCTCCTCGCCAAGCCCCAATCCCCACTCGTTCTGCCACATGTAGGCCTTGACCCAAGTTACAGGATCCTCACCAGCATGGAATCTGATTGCCCTGAACCTTCTTTCTACCTTGGCAACGTCAAGTTTATTCAAAATTATGATGCTGGGCTATGAGAACATATTGGGCAAATATTTCTTTCAGACCTCTGTGCTCCTTTCAACTGGCTCGTCAATCATCACGTGTCATTAACAAATGCATCCTTTATCCCAACGAATATGAAACGGCTTTCGCTTTGTCATCCGCCATTGTCAAACGATTGCCTCATTCATCCTAGGATGCAGGCTTAAATTACTATGGGAGTTGGGAAAAAATTACTGGAACGGGTGGAAAAAACTATAGCTTTGTCATGTGATTTATTGTAGAGGTAGTGACTTGATGGCATTGTTTGAAATTACTTATTAATGCCTTAAAAACAGAGCTTCTTTTGTAGTTAAATTAAAAAAAAAAGAATGTAAAAAGTAAAAACATTTTCTTTAATTCAATTCGCGAAAAATAAAGCCATTTTAAGGTATCAGAAAAAGACTCATTGGGAAAAACACAAAAGGAGTCAATCGACTATCCATTTTTATTCAACTAATTTGGTTGCATTTTTTCGATCTCTCCGTTGGGAAAACCAATAAGCCCGCTGCAAAAAAAGGTCTGATTTCGGTTCTGTGGCAATTAACCAACGCAGCCAAGGAAAAAAGGGGCAACAGGAGCTGCTTCGACCATAGTTAGCCCAATTAACCCGACCAGCCGCAAGTGGCCCACTTATCCCGAGGCTGGCATCAATGGGTTCAACTTTTTGCCCGACTTTCACAGCAATTTCACAATTCCGAACAGTGGCAGAGGCACACTCCCCGTACACATGAAATTGTCATGCTCTAGTAACTGTCCTAACTGAACTGAAACTCTTTGGGAAGCTGCAGCTGCAACTGCAACTGCTGTCAATGTGTGACTGTTTTTCAGGCATTTGAGCCACGTGGTTTTCTCACAAATGCAGCGTCAGCCTGGAGGAGGAGTGGCGTGGGTGGGTGGTGGTTGAGTTGCGACGTAGCTTAAATTGAAAACCAGAGTGGAAAACTTTTGATTCGATCTGTCTAATGGAAATCGGGCCAGTATATTGGAAAAGTTTTTTGAAATTAAAGTCTTATGTTAAGCAGCCGAAAGCCAAAGGCAATTTTAAACCAAAAACCAAGAGCCAAATAAAGTGAATAATTAAATAATACATTATTTATTGAAATATCGTTTTCATCGTTTGTTTTTCAAGGCTTACATCCCATTCTATATTCGATTTTAGGGTGTCTCCAAATATTCTCCACCAGAATTTGACACGATTTCCCACTTTGCATACAGCCTGCAGTGCGGTGAATTTTTGAAAATACTTTATTCGGTAACATTATGCAAATATTTGGATCCATTGAGCTGCGGATTTGGGTGCAAGAGAAATGCATTACGTGCGGTCCCTGCTGGCCTTCAAAATCCCATCGCCCATCGCCTATCGCCCCAGCCCTAGTCCCAGACATGCACCATGGGCATAAATATTGATTTATATGAGCCTACGAACATGAATCCATACATATAACCATGTAGTCATATAGGCACGTGCATGCGGCTGACTAAATATTAATGCGCTCTAAATAAAAAGCGGCATGCACAGCTGAAATTGCTTTTTTTTCGTCTCATTTTAAGCCCTAAGCTGCATTCTACATTTTTATTTGTGCCTCCTCTGTTTGTTTCTATTTTCATTCTGGTCGCTCCAGGTTCGGATTCAGTTTGCCTCTTTTTTTTATATTTTTTTCGTTTATTTTTTGTTCGTTTTGTGTTTGTGCATTTTTCATTACAGCATTGACAGTGACAACGACAGCTGAAGTGAGCCCCAAAAGGCACGAGTTGGTGTGTGGCATGCAACAATGGATGCGCTAGTTCTGCTTCGCAGTAGTCTATATGATAGTTGTAGTTGTACTTGAAATGCTGGTGTGTGTGCTAGAAGTGTGTGCGCTGCCCCTGAGGCCTGCAAGTGCCACGGTGTGTGTTTGTGTGGCACGAAGACGTGGCACGGTTTTTTTTTTGTTTTTGTGTGACGATTTTACGGACACTCATCCCCCTTTGACATTTCCCCCTCGGGGGCACGCACAAAATGTGGCACAGCAAGTGTTCTAGTTTCCCATATTGGTGTTTTCTTTGGTGTGTTGCACTTAAAGAAAAGGAATCTAAATTACCAATCAATGTTGTTCCAAAAATATATACACACATACATAGAAGTCTACTGTGGGTTAAAAAGGGCTACGAACTTAAAAAAAGAAATCCGTCATCAGGCTAATCTTAGATTTCTTATATGTATTTAATGAGTTTATTAATATACTATATAATATATACTATATTTACCTATTTTTTTACTCTGTACAACCCCCATAGCCCTTTGGGGCACTCGATAGGTTTATTTGAAACTTTACCTTGTATTTGTTTCCCTGATTCGGCAAACCAACACTCCCCCGCTCTGAGTCTTATTGCCGGGCAATTTCTGGCTTTGTTGATTGCTTGACAAATTGCCAACAGAGTCAGCTCTAGCTCGGAGGGAGTGAGTCGACAACAGGGAGACTGAAAGAGACAGGCAGGCGGAATAGACAGACGCCGCCGGCGGAGGTGGCGGCTGCAGACAAGTGTTCTTCTTGCTGTGGGACTGCGCTGCCTTTATTGGCCTGCGAACTGTTGTTGCGGTGTCAGGAATTGACAGGTGATGCACGATTTCCGCGCTCATCGCCTGACCTGTCACTGCACTCGACAGCGCCAATGAAATGTAACAAATTAACGATTTCTCCTTTGTCCAGCTTGCCATATTTAATATTCCGACCGATTTCTACCTCGCCAGGAATGCTTTTCCACAACAATGCATGATCGGTGAACGCCTAATTAAATTATCCATATTCGGCGAGAAACCGCCATGAAAAATTTCATATTCCCTTGAAAATTGCCATGAATAAATATGAATATGCATCATTATATTTGTGCAATCTATGCGCTTCGTTTGTGCCTCTTTTTTTAGAATTATTTTTATTTATTTTTAAAATGTTTTAGTTAAAAGTGTTGGGTGTTTTTGTGTGATATTTACCGCAAATGCCGCATGCCGCAATGTATGCTATAATAAAAATAAGTGCCGTTGGTTTTTGCAGCCAGTCAAGGACACGGCCATGCTTGATGCGATATAATCCACTTGATGCCGGCATGTTGTTGCTGTTGTTGTTGCGGCTGATTGTTGTTGTGGCAGCAACTGTTGATGCCACTGCGCTGCTAGCTATTGTTGCAATTTTTTGTTGCCACTACTATGAGTTTTTTTTTGGTTGGCTGTCAATTGTTTTACATTTGCGAATCAATTTGTCAGAGCTTTAATTTAATTTCATTTGTCACTACACATTCATTTCCATTTTATTGCATCACTTTAATTAAAACGTTTGGCTTCGTTTCTAATTGTTTTTCTTTTTTGGACCACTTGTTTTTGTTTTGGCAATGTTTTTGATGGCTTTTATGTTTGTTTGTTTTTATTTCAAAACTAATTAAATGCATTCTAGGCTGCACTCATTTTCAGTCACCGCGCTTCCAATTAACCTTGCAGTGTTAATCGAGTTTTTATCCTTCTTGTTTATTATTTCAATTATCTCCTTGGGCCAGTCACAATTTTTTTGGAAGCCATATGCCAGTTTGAGTCACACCTAGCACTCATAGTTCCGCTAAAAAACAGTCCACGTTGCGTATACGCTATGTGGAAATCGCGCATACGCTCCGTTGACCCGCACTAAACACGTGAAATTGTAGAATCCGATTCGAACCCGTTACCGCTATGGTCAGACGTTAACTGATTAGGCAGCAGGAGCCTGGGACTGCGATGTCCTGTCTTCGGTTGCAAAGGATTCTGCTTCTCCAGCCGTACCAGCATGCTTGGCCAACGCTCGTCTGTTTACATTACGCTTCCGCACGCGACTGACACGAGGACACCGACACGACATGAAGACAGGCCAGAAGCCATCGTCTGCACAGTCTTCGTGGCTAGCTCGCTCTTGCCAACAAAACAGCTCTCAGCCGGAGAGAGAGAGAGTTTTTATAGCAACTCTGTGCAGGAAGTGTTCGTGTAAAATGTTTGCTTAATTGGTCCTTGGAGAGGATAGCATTCATCCAATCAAAAAGGGAATTATAAAGTCCGGAAGAAGACTTCAGATATAACTAGTATATTTTTTAAAATGAAAAATAGTTTTTTTTTATTATATTCAAAAATACTTACATGGAATTTAAGTTTCAAGTAATAGAATGTAATAAAAAATAGCTAAGTTTCAATATTTATATAAATTTATTAGCTAAAAGCATCAATAAAAATAAAATATCCAAAAACTATATAATTCAATTAATGTCCTTTATTTAAAAAATATACTTCAATATTGGTAATTCTATTTAACAGCTGTTGGGATTTTTTATAGCAAACATTTCTTAAAAAAAATTTTTATTTCTCTTCCTAGCTGCGCGTGGTTTGATTCTCCTGCTCTCTCAACTTTCTCTGCTTTCTTTCTCTCGCTTTCTCCGTGTCTCCCTCGCTTGTGCAGCCATTTGCCGAGCGCCACCATGTGGAACTCGGCTTTCATGTCGTATCGCCTCGTGAACAAACAAAAGAGCCAGCAAACCGCTTCAATTTGGGTTATTGTGCTGAAATTAGTTGGGACCAAGTTTCGGGGTCCTCAACTGGGCGAACTTTCCATTTCAGCAAACTCCCGCGTTTTTTGGCCAACTTTGTCCAAAACGAAACACCAGAACACTTTGCATACTTTGGGGCTAGCCAAAAATCCGAATGGCAACTGGCTAACACGCCTCAGACATTGTCGCAATTTTGTTATCCTAGTCAGCGGGAAGTCTAAGATGTGCAAGGATTTGAGTCTCCAAGGATAATGGAAGCTATTCCAAAATTTCTTCTACAAATGTATACTCTTAAAGAAAACATTGTCTATGTCCTTCAATCTTTAAAGGCCATTCTGTTCCACTTCCTTTCAAATAATAAACATAAATCAGGCAATGAAAACCTTGCCATCAAGCATCTTAACAAACGTATATGTTAATTCCCTCTCCACACTCCGATATCCGGTCTACTGACCCACTCAATCTCACTTTCTACGCTGTATCTGTATAAATTGCCAGCAATTTCTGTTGCCGGGGCATATAAAAAGTTACACTTGGAGAGACCCTTACTTTTATGTACCCGCAGCCGCAGATTGCTGCAGCTTTCATTATCTAAAAACAAGAAAATCACAGACAATCAGTTAACGCTGCTCAAGCAAATAAACTCGTCAGGACTCGCAAAATAAGCGTACATATAAAGGACAAGCAGGAGGCGCATGTAGAAGAATCACGAAACAGCAGAGGAAGAAGCCCAGACAGGCAAGAAGTTTGCCATCTTCGGTGCCTTTTTTGTGTTGGCTGGGTCGCCGCTCTAAGCAAACTGGAGGAAAAAGTTTGCCCAGAGTTGTTGCCCGTTTGTCAGTTCGCCAGTTTTGTCGGTTCCAGTTTGCAGTCAATGGTGCGTCATTATTTTCATTTATTGGCACAATCAGTCAACGTTTTATTTCCGGAATGTAATTAGGTAAACTGCCAGAGACAAAGGCAAACAAACACAAATACACCCAGTGTTGCACACTCCCACACACACACACATACGCATCATGCACACGCCGGAAATACCCTGACAGATGCAGATGGTGAATAAGAAGAAGATGATGAGAAGAAGGAGCAGCGAGTGTCCTTTATGGCACAGTAATGCGAGAAGTTTACGCCCAAGCGGGGCCAGCCAGACATTCAGTCAGCCAGGGAGTTCCAAGGACTCTTGAGTGTGCATTCGTCTAGCCTAAGGATGCTCTTCGTGAGCACTGAAAGAAATTATAAACCTAATACACATTTTTTTTTGTAAAGATATAAACAAAGACCAGATAAAGATTCGTATAGAAGCTTTCCAATGTATATACAGACTATTTCCACTGTGTAGTATAAATAGTACTATTTGAAGTATTCTTCTTTACTTTGCATCTGAATATATATTCACAAATATATATTTATTTATATGCAATTATTTGCCTTTCGCTTAAAGGGTTAAACGTCCAGGAGATGGAAGGATGGACGCATTACTCACATGCCAGAGGATGATGGGAAAGCACATCTTAAGAGCTGGCCAAAATTGAAAACAAATGAACTGGGCCAGGGAGATAGACTGCTTAACAAGGGAAAACAACTCAAACCAAATGGAAGTGGAAGTGGTAGTGGCAGTGTGTAGTAATGGGGATGGTATGGGAAAAACAAGCTGCAAGTCAACAGCAAAAACGGCAGCTAGTGAAAATTTCAAAAATTCTGCCACCTTTCGGATGAAGCGTCAGCTTCTCCAACATCAGGTAGCTGGAAATGGAAAAGTTTTTCGCGCGCGGCACGGCGTGATGAGATGAATTGCTCGCTGTTCCAGCTTACAATGCCCATGCCAGGACTGGGCTATCCACCTCGGAAAACCCCATCCTGGCCCGCGCCCCGGAAGACCCGCGGAAAGACACCCGGAAAACCCAAAGCCGGCAGCTGGTTGGTTGGCTGGCTGAATGGCTGTGAGTGAAGTGAAGCGTTCCAGATAGAATTTGAGCGCAGTAAATTTTTCAATCGACTCGCTAATAAAGGCAATAAATATTCGATTCGCTTTCCTTTGCCACCACCACCGTCCTGCCACCTCTGCTCCGTCCTGCCCGCATTACACCACCCAGCTTTTCGTTTCATTTCAATTCTTTTCGTTTCATCTTGTTTCGATTGAAGTATTTGCTTTTTGCTCTCGGACGGATACTCGCTTTTCTATAGTTTCGTATTATGTTTGATAATCTGCCGAGGACTTGTGCTACTGCTCCACGTTCCACGCTCCATGGTCCATGGTCCATGGTCCTTGCATCTTTTCTTATCGACTCTAGTTATCCTGCAATTGTTGGGGTCCTATTTTCAATTTTCCTGCCGCTTTGTTTTGCTTTGCCGTCCTTGTTAGACATTGCGACAGCGAAAATTTCATTTCGTTTCACTGCATTTCACGTTAAATTCAATTTAACGTGCTGGTATTTTTCACTCCTACCTTATTCACCGACCCTGGTCGGAGGGACAGGGACGAACGGACAAGGAGCATTATTTTGGCAAACATAGCTCACAATTTCCACCGTTTCCAGCGCCGTTTTTCCTCCCATTTTCCGCTTCCCATCTGCAGTGCATTGTTGTTCCCCGTTGTTCGCAGTAAATAAAAGGCAACGCAACAAAGCAGAAATGAAGAAATTCCCCAAAATGGAAATGTGTCACACAACGTCCCCAGCCTTGGACTTTTCTTTTCTGGATCCAAGCGGGTCGCCGGGCTAGGTTGGATTTCTAGGTTTGGGTTTTCCCATTAAGCGCATAAATGAGGCTTAAGCTGGCCCCACAAAATCACAGTGGAAATGCACGACCAGTATGACTAAGGACTCTTGGTCAAGGACCTTAGATCTAAACTGCTGACACTGACGAACATTGGCAATAGTTTTACAGCCTCATTTTCATTTTTCAGCCGTTTTCCATAGGCTCCCGGAATTCAGCCAGCACTTAAGAAAATTGAATATGGAAATTGATTTTTATTGTAATTCTTGCCGATTCACTCGCCGCCTCTGCTGCCTTTCCCTCTTGGTTGGAAACACTGCCAGCCCGGGATTAGATTATCCAACAGTTGGCATCATCGATTTTCCCTGGAATTTTACTCCCCTTCCACCCGACGAACTTTCGCCGAAAGTTTATTGAAATATTTAGCGGGAACTTAAGTAATAAGTTGCCGAATCAGTACGCAAAAGATTAAAGTCCAATAAACCAGTGGCGTGGCGGTGGGAAATCCACCATCCAATCGCATTCCAAGGAAACTCTCGCCTCACCCTCAAAAACCAATGGCAGAGATCGGGTTTCCATTGGAAATTACTGGCAAAAGTTGGCCAGATAGTCGTAATGGGCTTTTGAGCTCGAAAATGAAATTCCCTTGAAGTGCTTCAATATCACCTTCGGGCTGATGCACAATGGTCGCTCTGTAGTCATAAATGTCGTCGCAACTCTACTACTGCTACTGCATTGATTGTGTCCCAGGGCTTTCACTCCCTCATACCGCATACCGCTTTCCACTACCAACTACCCACTAGGCAACCAGAATTCGTGTCGTTAATTATTTTTTCACAATATCCCACTGACGAGCTGCGAACAAGGCCCAAAACGAGCTGCCAAGCGGCCAATTATCCGCCATAATGCTGTGATTTAATTTAAAAACCTGTCAGAGAAGCGGGGAACGGGTAGCCAGAGGCGGGCGAAGGATCTTCAGCATTGTGGCATGTGTCAGTGCAGGACACTCCATCTTTTCGGGATGACAACGAAAAACAAAGAGGGGCTTTGTCCCGGCAATATCTTGTTAATTATGCCCAAGGCTGTGAATTAACTGTGGGGAGCGGAATATATGATGACAATGA